CGCACACCACTGTTCTCAGATAACACTCTAGGCAGAAGAGTTCTTATCTCAGCAACTTTAGCAGAGTGAACTGAGATAGTGAGCATGGACTCCATGTTTACATTTTTCACCGAGCCATCTCCGATAAGGATACAGTTTGTCCTTGGTGGAGGCGCTGCAGTTTTTAGCAGCTTTGTTGTTTCAGAAAGGGGTAAAAAGCGGTTTGAAGTCTTCAGAACATTTAGTTGTGGCCTTATTTCACTCCTATTGTCATTCTTAGCTTTGTCAACTTTGGGTTTGGCTCCACAATTGTTCCAATAATTCTCATTGTTGATTTTGGGAAAAGAAATGACGTCATAACTTACATTTCCAGTCTGTTCATTCATCCCATTTTCACTCATTGGAAGAGTCGGGTTAAGTCCCATTTCTGTTTCCACAATAGATATCCGTGTTTGAAGAGATTTAAGCTGATTTTCCAAAGCATAACAGCCACCGCAGACGCTTCTCCGTCTCTTCCGTCCCGACATGACTAATGTTGATAAATTCCACAAAGCTGAAGTGTGTAGAAGGAGTAATCCTCGTTTTGTAAATAAAATGATTAAAGGAGAAACAAAAAATGTAAATAAAATGATTCAGGGAGATTAAAAGGCGAAGCAAAAGCAGAGCAGAGAGACACGACCGCTCTCTCGAGAAGCAGGTACGACTTAAGAACGACTTGAGAAGAAATTTAAGAAGTTTCTTACGAAGTTATTTGTGAATGAGGCCCTTTCTATACAGTGACCTGGCAGTGACCTAAGACATTGTTGTATATTTCTATTCATTTGTTTTTTTTTTCATTTAATCGTTCCTCATAGAGTCATGTCTGTGGATTCCTGGTTCATCGGACTTCCAGGACTGAGGCTGTAGATCCAGGACTGAGTCTGTAGATCCAGGACTGAGTCTGTAGATCCAGGACTGAGGCTGTAGATCCAGGAGTGAGGCTGTAGATCCAGGACTGAGGCTGTAGACCCAGGACTGAGGCTGTAGATCCAGGACTGAGGCTGTAGATCCAGGACTGAGGCTGTAATAATAATAATGCATCAGTTTTATATAGCGCTTTTTTGGACACTCAAAGACGCTTCACATGTTATTATTCATTCACTCCAAACACAGTGGTGATAAACTACTGTAGCCACAGCTGCCCTGGGGCACACTGACAGAAGCGAGGCAACAAGTATGTGCCATCGGCCCCTCCCACCACCACCAACCATTCAAACACACCAGACTCATTCTAGGCAATGGGGGTGAAGTGTCTTGCCTAAGGATACAACGGCAGTTTGGCACTTTACAGCCGCAGCAATGTGGCTGGAGTTCCCAGAGGTTAAGTGTCTTGCCAAGGACACAACGACAGCAGACAGTGGGAGTCAATGGTGAAGGTCGGGCTCGAAGCCACGACCCTCTGGCTCAAAGGCCAATGCTCTACCAACTGAGCTACTGTCGCCCTGTAGATCCAGGACTGAGGCTGTAGATCCAGGACTGAGGCTGTAGATCCAGGACTGAGGCTGTAGATCCAGGGCTGAGGCTATAGATCCAGGGCTGAGGCTGTAGATCCAGGGCTGAGGCTGTAGATCCAGGGCTGAGGCTGTAGATCCAGGGCTGAGGCTGTAGATCCAGGGCTGAGGCTGTAGACCCAGAACTGAGGCTGTAGACCAGGACTAACATGCACTGATATTCTCGCAGTGGCTTTTCTATAGTTTCCTGGAGCAGAATTCGACCGATGAAAGTTAGAACCTCCAGTCGTGGGTTAATGAGGCGTCTGCAGGAGGCCACAGGCTTATTCTATATCTATTATGTATAGTGAACATAGTGCTCCCTTCATCATATTAATCAAGAGCCTTTACTGACACACACACACACACACATAGTAACATACTGTACAATACAATTTATTCAATAGTATGTATTGTTGTATAGCCCTAGGTCACAACAGAAGTCATCTCAGAGGACTTAACAAAACCATTGAAATCACCAACACAGGTCAGAGGTCAACAGTTAAAACACATGAAGAATATAAAGCACACACAGAAGAAAATGTCCATACATGTTGTAGAATGCTAAAGTGTCCTGATCATCACCAATCCTTTCTGTTGGACACTAACTGTCCAACAAGACCCTCCTGCATCCACAAGGAACAACTCTTAAAAAACCCAGTGTGAAAAAGTGAGAAACCTTGGGGAGAACTAGGGAAACCCACAGGGAGGGAGACCCATATGAGAAAGGGATCCGCTCCTCCGGACGGACAGGCTAATGATCCAGGACCTAAGCTAGCTACAGAACGTGGACCAGTGGCCGCTGAACGTGGACAGGTCCGGTGCAGGACTGAAGCACTCCCAGGCGGGTCGGGCGGGGCAGTCCGCAGGTGTAGATGGAGGAGGCCAGGCTCAGAGATCCCGTCATCGTACCATGAAACAGACAATGGGACAACGGGTGAATAGCAATGAACAAACTACAGTCAAAATCCTAATAATGCTAAACAGATAAAGTAGGAAGGAGGAGAGGATAGTGCAGTTACCATACTTCTCCAGCAGGGGGCTCCCTATGCAGCTTGACTGACAGTCTGAGGAGTTTAACCTTCCCTGAGTCTTACCTTCCTAGCCATATGCTAAACTAAAGAGGGACTGTTTTAAACCTAGCCTTGAATAAAGAGAGCGTATCTGAAAGGAGGCGAGACAGCAGCAGCCACGGCTAGGCTAGCCTAGGTTAGGTGGGTAGTACATCCAGGCTTCTTAGTGGAGGAGCTCAAACTGGGAGATTATCTCTTGGACAGTTTTGTGCATTACAGGTGCAAAGTAAAGTTAGCTCAAAGTGCCTTTCTGGCTGTTGGAATTGTTATCTGTGGATTGGAGACAATGGGTTTTTGATGCCTTGACCTTGTCATTGAAAAATATTGTGCAAATCATTACTTTTACGTTTGGAAGTTAGCTATAATGGCATTTGAACAGGGGGTGGGTTTGTTAAATCTATTAACTGTTGAAAACCAGAACACGCAGTTTGTTGCTGGGCTGACTTCACTCATTCAGAAATTACCTTCTCTTTTACTACGTAGCACCTGGTTAAACTCGCACAACGTATCTTTGAAGATATTTGTAATCAACCTTGGAGGTTTGGACTTGCGCCACTTACGCTGGCCCCGTCTCTCCAAATTGAAATACCTTTCTCTCGTACTACGTAGCACCCGGTTAAACTCGCACAACTTATCTTTGAAGATCTCGTAATCAACCTGGAGGTTGGACTTGCGCCACTTCCGCTCGGCCCTCCGGCACTTTCTCTTTTGTGCCCTGACCGAGTCTGCTTTAGCCCACGGCGCCTTCTGCTTATTTTTCACTATTTTAACCTTCACAGGGGCAACGGTATCCAGAACATTCAAAACACTAGAGGTGACAGAGTTTAACAGTTCATCTACAGTAGAATACGATGCATTCTCAAAGTTTATCATTCCCATAAATAGTTCACTCGTATTTTCATTTATGCGCCTTCTTCGAACAGTTGCAGAGTCCACCGGTGGTTTGTTAGTGAAACACATGTCAAAAAAACACAGAAATGATCCGAAAGAGCAACATCGACCACGTTTACATTTGAAATATTCACCCCCTTTGTAACTAACAGGTCTAGAGTGTGCCCTCTGCTGTGGGTGGGGCCACTTACGTGCTGAGTGAGATCAAAGGATTCAAGTACAGAACTCAGCTCATTTGCATTTCTGTCATCAACATTATCCACATGAATATTAAAATCACCTGTAATAACCAAACTATCAAAATCTGTGCATACAACTGAAAGCAACTCTGTAAAATTATCAATAAAACTGTGACATGACTGTGGTGGCTTGTATAGGACAATGAAGAGTATTGGAGGAGATTGTTTTTGTTGTATTTTAAAAGACACATATTCAAATGACGAAAACTTCCCAAGAGACATTCTATGGGAGACAAAGTGGTCTCTAAAAATGGCAGCTAAGCCTCCTCCTTTTTTGTTTTCCCGTATTTCAGATTCAAACTTGAAATTTGGTGGTGATGCTTCTATTAAAACTGCATTTCCTGAATTTTGGTCAAGCCAAGTTTCAGCCATTAACAAAAGATCAAGATTATGAGAACAAATAAAATTATTGATTAAAAAAGACTTGTTACAAAGAGATCTGACATTAAGCGTAGCAAGTTTCAAAGTTTCAGTATCAGCGGTTGCGGTCGGCTGATTCTTACACGGAACAAGAATTAGATTTTCCAGATTAGACTGATTAACTCCAGATGTTTTTCTGTAATGTATTCTTTGTGTTATCACTAAGGGAATGGCACAGGTGCCTTCATGACAGGGCCCCAGCCGGGTCTCTCCTCTAACTAGACTGCCAGTGGCTGCGAAGCAGAGACCCTGTGCATCCTAGTGTTTAGAGAAAAGAGGGGAAGGCGGGGGAGGAGGATGGAGAAGTGGGTGGCTTTTGGGTGTTGAACGAGGGGGGCAGGGAGGTGGAGGGGTTTTTGGTGATGGGTTAGGGCCGGGGTGGGCTGAGGCAGAGGTTTTGGATGTTGAACGAGGGGGAAGTGGGGGTGGAATGGTCATGAGGTTAGGGGAGGGACTGGCTGAGGTGGTTTTTGTAGGTGAATTGGAAACCCTAGGTGGTTTTGGAGGTACATATGGGGAGTGGTTTAGAATGTTGGACAGGACTCTAGATCTAGCTAATATGGGTGTGAGAGGTATAGTCTTCATCGCCGATTTTATTAGCCCTGCAGAGTGTTCAGGTAGGTCTAACAGTGAAGGCGGGGATGAAAAACAAAGGGAGGTGTCCCCATTCTCTCTTGATGGAGTGGACGTGGCAGGGGGGACCCAAGACAGGTCCATGGGAGGTGGCGAGGGAGTCTTTGATGGAGGGGCAGGTGGTTGAGGAAACCCCAGCACAGGCCTGTCTGCTGTAGGCTGGGGTGAGGATGGGGGCTTCAGAGGCGCTGTAGATGAAGAAGGCGTGGCTGCTTTGGAGCAGGCTGGGGATGAGGATGTTGGTGGTGGTGGTCGTGCACCTGGTGCTGCTACTGGTGATGATGCAGCTGCTGCTGGTGCTACTGCTGGTGCTGGTGGTGATGCAGCTGCTGCTGGTGATGATGCAGCTGCTGCTGCTGGTGCTGCTGCTGGTGCTGGTGGTGATGCAGCTGCTGCTGGTGCTGCTGCTGGTGCTGCTGCTGGTGCTGGTGGTGATGCAGCTGCTGCTGGTGGTGATGCAGCTGCTGCTGGTGCTGCTGCTGGTGCTGGTGGTGATGCAGCTGCTGCTGGTGATGGTGTTGAGATCCTTCGAGGTGGTGGTGGTGTTGAGATCCTTCGAGGTGGTGGAGGTGCAGAGACTTTTAGAGTCGGCTTCCTCCCTTTCGATGGCTGCACGCGCTGCGCAGGCTGAGGTCTCAGGGCAAAAGAAAGGTTATCCATCAACACTTTTACTCCGTAAGTGTTCAGATGTGGCCCTTTCCCTTCAAAAAGCTCATGCCTATTCCAGAACAGATTAAAATTCTCAATGAAGGCAAGTCCTCTGCGTGAACATTCGTTGAGTAGGAAAGTATTTAGCTGATACAGACGACTGAATTTCATTTGCTTCCCGTCCACATTTGGTAGTGGGCCACTGATAACGATTGTTGCGTCCATTTTAGCAAGGTCGTCCAATAAGAGAGAATAATCCCGTTTCAACTTTTCACTTGTGTTGTCATAGACGTCTACTGCCCCCACGTGGATCAACAATCTTTTTACCCCGCCGGTCTCAGACAGAAGCCTCGGAGCCAACCGCCTTATCTCATCCACTTTGGCAGAGTGTACTGAGTGAACCTTGAGATTACGCATGTTTGCATGTCTTATCGCAGAATCCCTGATAAAGAGCGACTCAGCTGCATTTGACCTTGACTGAGACTGAGACTGGGACTGAGAGGCTACTGCTGATTCATCTTCCAAAAGTGGTGAAAAGCGGTTTCTTGTAATTAAAGATTTTTGCTGTGGCATTATGACACTCTTGTTATCATTAGCTTTGCCTTGTTTGGGCTTGGCACCATATGTGTTCCAACAATTGTCTCTGTTGATTTTGGGAAATGAAATAGCGTCATCATAACTTACGTTCTGTCCATGTGGTCCATTTCCTTTCACTGGTATTGTTGTGTTCAGCCCCAATTCTGATTCAAGCACAAATATTCGGTCTTGAAGAAGTTTTAGCTCCTGTTTGAGTGAAAAACAGCCGTCGCAAAGTTTTGTTCTTTTTTCCCGTCCTCCTGACATGCTGTAAGTTAGGTAAATTCCACAAGTCTTGTGTTGAAGTTTGTAAAAAGGAGTAATCCGTGTTTTGTGGAATAAAAATGTAAATAAAAATGATTAAAGGAGATAAAAAAGCAGCAAGCGAGGAGCAGCAAGAGAATGCGACTGCTCTGTCCAGAGCAGGAAGTCTATAAGCCTTTTGCTTTTATGTAACCATGCTCTGGATTATTGTATTGACAACTTTCGACCAGTTCTTTAGCATGTCCTTTTGTGTACTGTTCTAGGAAGTACAAGCGATCAGAATTTTTAGAAGTATTCCTCTCAACTCCATTTTCGAATGCCTTTATAAACGTGTGGTATTTTAGTGGATTGCCATCAAATATGGGGATGTCTCTTTTGGGTAACGTTGCAAGACATTGTTGTTGAAGTAATAAAGTTGTGATGTCATTTTGCCTTTTCATTATTCCAAGAACATAATTTTTATTTTCCATATTCGATGCATTCACTTCCATATTTGAATCCAAAAAACACTGTCCATGTGTTGTGCGTTCTGGGTCTTTGGTATTTATTGTTGTTGTTTCTGTGTTTTTAATTGAAGTCTTTTGATTCATGTTCATTGTTGCATTTAGTTTTGGTGCAGGCATGAACTCCACAGCATTCACATTCATTGGCATCTTTGATTTGTTCAAATAAGAGTTCATTCCATCTGAGATTTATGAAGTTTTACTTCCACTTGTTGTGCTTCGTGTCTTGAAAATGTCCAGTTTTGCCATTTTTTCAGCTATTACAGTTTCCAGTTGTAACTTTTTTTTTCTTTTGCGCAGCCGTTCTTCCTCCTCTTCAATTGCATGCCTTTCATTTAGTGAGCGTTGTCTTGCAGCCAGAGCAGCCAGCTCGGCCTCAGCTTTCAGACGTGCAGATGAAGCTGTAGATATGCGAGATTGTGCACTTTTGTTACTTCCAGTATTTGTAGCACTGTCACTTGGCTCAATGTCATCCTCAATCACACATTTTGTGGTAATTTTAAGCACATTTGTTTCAAAATCCATACATTCGTTGCTTTGAGTTGACTCTTGTTCATTTCCATTCATTTGTTCATTTTCATTTGACACTGAGGGCATATTTCTCATTTAATTTAAGTTTTCCTTTGGTTTGGATTTGTACTCCGTTGAGTTTTGTTCAGTGCTGTAAATCCATTGTTTCACATCATTTTGAAATGTCTCAGTGTATTTTGTGGTGCTTTCAAACCACTCCTTTTGTTTCATAACCTCTTCTTGTGGAATTAATGGCAACAATTCACTTTGTGCAGCATTGGCAGAAAAATACAGTTTGCTCAGGTTTTCCATGTCATCCTTTATTTGAGAAACATTTTCTTTTTGATTCATCAAACCTTTTATTTCAGGTATCAACCCTTTAATTTTATTGACAAAACCTTTGCGCTCATTTTGAAGTTTTTCCACCTTGTACGCCAAAGCTTTTTCAGTGAGTTTGATCTCACGTTTCTGAGACTCCATTTCAGGCCGCGAGGCCGCACCACCCGTGTCACTCATTTTGTTTGTTCAAATATATATATTTCAAGTTCTTTATTCAATACACGTCACAATAAGCTCATGCAAACACGTGTAACAATGATTATGGAATCATTTCATTTCAACATATCGGCTTAATCACTTTTCACAATGAAACTCCAGAGCAGCGCATTATTTAATCCACAATAGAAGCCGTCAATCAGAGCGTGCTGCGCTTAACCCTATATGCCCGCGTGCATCGGCGCCGATGCACATGTTTTACAAATGATCAATTTACTCGCGAACGGTAAAACGTAGCAACTTACTTTTTTTTCCTCTGTGAAGTACGTATTCAGGGATTTCCGAAACTAGTTTTGATTTGTCTGTGCGATGCACGGCGGATAAACTACGTTTGTCTGAAAGTCTGTGTCCAAAGCGTGACCCGTGAGGTACAAACAGCTGTGAGATACAAACACACGGGGACTGCCAAAGATCGTCAGAGAGTGAGATGTCTCACTCCTCTGCGTTTACTTGTTCTCCCACAGTTGAAACTACAGCTGCGATTGCAATAACCGGCTGAAGAGTGCGCATTATTGATAAAGACGATAATAAATACAGTAAAATGACATTATGTGTATATGATGTATATAAATATATGTATTATATATTTAATTGATGTTTTTTTTTTTTGGCTCAGTTTCTTATTTTTTACGTTTTTTACAGCTGTACTACAGAAGCAACCCCAGCATTATAGACAAACTGCTTCAGGAAGGGCATCAGGAGTACAGAGTTTTTTTGCTTTTATAGTGGAATTTTGTAAAAAGTATAATAGTTAGAGATTCAATTTTTTTCAATCAATCAATCAATCAATCAACGTTTATTTGTAGAGCGCCTTTCCTACACAAGGCAACGCAAAGCGCTTCACATCCCCTATCACATCATGCATAAATCAAACACATTAAGAGCACAAGATATATTAAAAACATTAAAAATAAAATCACAAAAATTAAAAACCTTTAAACATTAAAATCACAGATGGGACTAAAATCATAAATAGTCACAGTACATTAAAAAGATTAAAAATAAAAACAAAGATGAAAAGATAAAATCATTCAGTTGTATATGCGCAGCTAAACAGAATTGTTTTGAGCCTAGATTTAAAAGATGCCAGAGTAGACGCCTGTCTCACATTCTCAGGAAGACGGTTCCAGACTCTAGCCGCATGAATCTGAAATGCAGTTTGCCCATGTCTAGTACCGACTCTGGGCACTAACAGGAGTCCAGTCCCTGTGCTCCTCAGAGTCCGGGTCGGTTCATATGGCACAAACATGTCGTGGATGTACCTTGGCGCGAGACCATGGAGAGACTTGTACACAAGTAAAGCTGCTTTGAAGTCTATTCTCTGAGGAACAGGAAGCCAGTGCAGAGACCTGAGAACTGGACTAATGTGGTCGCACTTCCTAGTTCTGGTCAGGACTCGAGCTGCTGCATGTTGAATGTACTGCAGCTGTTTTACAGCCTGTTTGGAGAGACCTGTGAACAAGCCATTGCAATAGTCTAACCGACTGGAGACAAAAGCGTGTATAAGAGTCTCCAAGTCTGCCTTAGACACTATGTTTTTAATTTTAGCAATGTTTTTTAGGTGGTAATAAGCTGCTGATGTTACAGATTTTATGTGGCTTTTGAAATTTAAGTCTGAGTCCATTATCACTCCTAGGTTTCTGACCTGATTTTCCCCATTATCCCCAAGACCATAAATAACATTTCTATGCAGTGTAAAAAGTTGTTTATAGCATTTCATTGTGTTTTTTCAATACATTTTTGTTAAATTGATTTTCCGTTTGATTTTTTTCTTTGTCTTCATGATTCCATAATTTTTATATAATTCATATGACAGCTTTACAATATGAATATTCTAAAACCCCAGGTTGTACTGAAAAAAACAAAGTATACTGCTTGACTCTGCATCAAAAGATGACTGTTTTATGAACAATTATACACAAAGAAAACCAGGCGAGGAAAGTTCCCCAAAATGACCCATGTGCATAGAGGGTTAAAGATCAGAGAGCGCGCGCATGGACTCCTGTTGCATCCGAGCATTTATTCCTTGATATCCAGACACAAGCAGTATGTATAGACTTTAATGCATGGATTCCTTTTCCACAAACAAACGGTGACAGGTGGGCTTACCTGCTCTCTGTGAAATGGCGTTTGGATGCGTCTTTGTCCAGCGCGTGATGGCATGGCACAGTTTACTCACATGGCTTCATCCTGGTGTTTGTGGGCAACATTGCGAGCGGTGGCTTTCATTGTCTTTAATGCCCATTTTCGTTGACAAAATGTAGCGACCCAAACCTATGTCGCTTCTGGAGAGAAGAGTGCGGGTCCAGTATAATGGATGACGCGCTGCCGATTGTAAAGAACACGCTGGAGGCATGTAATGCGTTTCGTGGATTTAATTGTATCTACGGTTTATGATTGTTACAGTGCATATGAGTAAAACAGAAAACAAAAGAATATGGACCAAAAGTGTGCGGTCAACGAAAAATACAGCTACCCGGCTTCTCACCTCTCCCTGTCACTGAGCAGGAAGCGAGTGCCTTTCAAAACTCCCGGCACGACAACCATGCCCACGTGACCCACGCCCCTTGACACGTTGCCATAGCAACCATACCCTTGAACCAATAGATATGGCTCCTACAGGGCCTTTAAAACTACCCTTTAATGATGACAGATTAGGGCCCTTTAATGATGGCAGATTAGGGCCCTTTAATGATGACAGATTAGGGCCCTTTAATGATGACAGATTAGAGCCCTTTAATGATGACAGATTAGGGCCCTTTAATGATGACAGATTAGGGCCCTTTAATGATGACAGATTAGGGCCCTTTGATGATGACTGATTAGGGCCCTTTAATGATGACAGATTAGGGCTCTTTAATGATGACAGATTAGTGCCCTTTAATGATGACTGATTAGAGCCCTTTAATGATGACAGATTAGAGCCCTTTAATGATGACAGATTAGGGCCCTTTAATGATGACAGATTAGGGCCCTTTAATGATGACAGATTAGGGCCCTTTAATGATGACAGATTAGGGCCCTTTAATGATGACAGATTAGGGCCCTTTAATGATGACAGATTAGGGCCCTTTAATGATGACAGATTAGGGCCCTTTGATGATGACTGATTAGGGCCCTTTAATGATGACAGATTAGGGCTCTTTAGTGATGACAGATTAGAGCCCTTTAATGATGACAGATTAGGGCCCTTTAATGATGACAGATTAGGGCCCTTTAATGATGACAGATTAGAGCCCTTTAATGATGACAGATTAGGGCCTTTTGATGATGACTGATTAGGGCCCTTTAATGATGACAGATTAGGGCTCTTAATGATGACAGATTAGGGCCCTTTGATGATGACTGATTAGGCCCTTTAATGATGACAGATTAGGGCCCTTTAATGATGACAGATTAGAGCCCTTTAAAGTGATTGTCTGGAGTTTGTCAGAAAGAGAGGTACTTGATTTGAAAAAAACGACGCAAGCTCCCTCCCCCTTCCTTTCTGATTGGTCTACACCTACGTTTCCGTAACACTTTGAAATGTTAATCAGAGAACACATTATACATATACATTATTAATACACATGCACGGACGTTTTCAGAATTATTTGTGAACGTTTTAATGAAAAAAAATAACGTTTTTATGCACAAAAAAGCGATCGCGGCAAACCAGGAAGTGCTATTATTATGAATTGCACATTATAGGACACATCTGCAGAGGATCTGATTATGGATATAGGTTCAGTATATAAATGAGTAACTCAGTGCGGATGTTCAGAATTCTTTGTTCAGTTTTCATGTAGTTCCAGAGCCTAATAGAGGCTTGATTCGGAGGCTCCGCGAAAACAAACAACTGAGCATGCGCGCAGCTGCGAGCATCAGCGCCGATGATTGACAGCCCTTGGCATGACTCGATTGGTTAACCTCGACGGCACCGTGGATTCTGAACTATAGCTAAGAGCAGGGAAGGCGGGACTTGCCCGTAATATTAGAATTAATAAAATGACTTATTTTATATCAACATTTAAGGCCAGGAGGTTAATTTAACACATTTCCTAAAATTTGTAATTAATTTAGAGTTACAGACTATCACTTTAATGATGACAGATTAGGGCCCTTTGATGATGACAGATTAGGGCCCTTTGGATGTGTCTTCAGAGAGCACTTCTCCTTTGCTGAGATAATCTACCTCAGATCAGACAGAGTGAATATTGAGTTCTATCCCACGTCGTCGTAGTCCCCATCGTCTCCCTCTGCTGCTGTGATGTCGTAGTCGCTGTCTTGCGCCTCCTGCTGGTGAGAAGAATACGCTTCAGTCTCCAGCTTCAGGTACTCGGGCACAGAGCTGCGTCTCTCCAGATCCAGGTCCTCGTCTGGGTCCTCGTAGTCTGGGTCCTTCTCTGGGTCCTCGTAGTCTGGGTCCTTCTCAGGGTCCTCGTCTGGGTCCTCGTAGTCTGGGTCCTTCTCTGGGTCCTCGTAGTCTGGGTCCTTCTCTGGGTCCTCGTCTGGGTCCACGTAGTCTCGTTCTTCACACAAGTTCTCGTAGCTGAGGTCCACAGCTGAAGAACATAGAGGACACACATGAGGGACTAAAGAAACACAGCCATCTAGTGGAAGAACAGGGGAAATACCTTCTAGCACATTACATGTGTGTTAAATGTGTTGTATCAAAGTATACTTTTGCAGGAATTTTGCGAGTTTTCTCCAGATTGTTGATGAAAGAAAAAAAAAAGGAAAGTCGCAAGCGGCATCGAATGGCCCTCACCACATTGCGCAGAGGAGGTGGCACTTATGTGCACACTGTTTAACTGATCAATATTCTGTAGCTAACTTTTAATGTTTAGATGATGTGGAGCAATTTTGAGCCCTATCGGTGAAGCGCCCGAGGCTGGTTCTCTAAAAGCGTGATTGGTAAATTTGAGAGATTTCAGGATTTTTAAAATTGACACAAAATGTGTGTTTGTCATCGCCACGGCAACAGGGTAAAAACTAAGTCATGGGTCTCATTGACTTTTTGATTCAAGATGAAGTGACAGAATTATGTGCAACATTTCAAACATTTTGAAAAAACTAAATAATTGTCACCGTCTGTAAAACTCCTTCAGATGACCTAGCCCCTGGATTTTGTGTGGATCGGACTTTGTGCAAACGGGAGAACATTTGTAAAAGTGTCTGATGTCCAAAATATTGCCATTTTATCATGTCGAGTTGATGAACATGTGACTGATGTTGTGGCTCCACGACAGACTTGACGTTGTCGCCTCCTTTAAAAAGGAACAATGTAAATCGACATTAAAGGTGTCGCTGTTGCAAAAAAAATTTTTGTCCCATGAAATAACAGAAAACATTATTTTGCCAGAAATGAATTTCGGGCACAGTTTGATCACTTTTCTTGAATGTTCGGGAGGTTCAAACTCAGGATCAAACTACAGAAGAAAATAAATATTATAATTTTTAATTGTCTTTGGCAAAATCACCTTAGGCTTCAATGGCACATGATACATCATTTTAAAGAATTTAAGAAGACGCACAACCATCTCGTGTTTGTCACGCACCGCACCTTTGTGAAAGAAATAGGAACAGGTTTTGTTTCTCTCCTGCTGTGTTTTGTACCTTGGATCTTGAACTGGCTACTGAGAGGAGGAGCCGGGGACACGGTCTCTGCACCCGGAACATTCTGTTGGACCACACTCTGCTGATATGTTCTGGAACACACCAGATCAAACACAAACATAAAACATGATGCTAACAACATGATGCTAACAACATGATGCTAATAACATGATGCTAACAACACGATGCTAATAACATGATGCTAACAACACAATGCTAACAACACCATGCTAATAACATGATGCTAAAAACATGATGCTAGCAGGACTTACTGAAACTTAGAGGACGGCCATTTTTTATCCAGTCCCAGCGTGAGGTTCCCTGCAGAGAAAAGACACATAAACACCAGGACAATGAAATAAGTCCTCTCTGGTGGTCCTTTTATATATACACACATTGCCGGTCACGACCCACCCACCTGTGCACAGCCTGGATTGATTACCAGAAAGCCTACGACTCAATCCCACACACATGGATCATGGAATGCTTGAAGTTTGTACAATATCAACAGGGCTCTAATTAGGGATGTAAATCGGCGACCGTTTAACCGGTGGTTGACCGTCACAGCGTTAACCGGTCAAAGCTGTCGGTTAAAAAAGAGAAAAAGGGGAGAGGGGAGGTCTCTTAATAACGGTATTTTAAGCCCTATTTGCACGATGTGACGAGCGGGTCCATATCTAGCTGTGTGCGCCTATGTATTATAAACTCCGGGACGACTCTCACGCCGCACGAGCCACATATGCACACACGCACGCGCGCGCACACACACACACACACACACACACACACACACACACTTTCCCCCTCTCCATACGTAACATCCACACGCATCATCTCTCCCCTCTGTTACCGTCAAAGTTGCACACTGGCGCGGGTCAGAACTACATTGGAGCTTACATTTACACACACACATATACATACACACACACATACACACATACATACACACACACATACACACACACATACCGGTCTGTCGCGCTCCTCTGTGTCACGGAGCCCAAAGGATTCGCGCAAATACGCGGCTCCAGTCAAACCACATGGAACATGTTTGTGTTTATGGTCCTCGGGATCAGCTCCACACACATCACTTGTATTTAAACTTTTGTGAAGACCTGTGAGACGCGGCTCGTCACTCGCTGCTCTGACCATGTGAACGAGCCGCCGTTTGCTGCTAGAAAGTTTTGGTATTAACCCGCAGCACAGCAGAATGGGAAGATTAAAAAAGTTCTCTGTGCGCAAAGGTGCCGGAGCTGTTGCGGGTTTGGGCGCCGCTGTCTCAACTCTGATCCAGTAGAACGCAGAGCTGCACTTATGAGAAGTACGCGGCTCGAAATGGCTGTTATTTCAAAGAACGTGGACTATTTTAAACTACGCGGTTAACCGGTTTCAACCGGTTAATGAGGCTCGGTGGTCGGTCATGAAAATTCATAGTTTTTTACATCCCTAGCTCTAATGGACTTTGTTGCAAACTCGATGGGGATGTGGAAGATTAGACAACCCTTGAGGCAAATGGCCGCTCGCACAAGTGACTATCAAATGTGGTATTTACCACGGAGATGCTCTGTCCCCACTGCTGTTCTGCGTAGGCCTGAACCCTCTAAGCAAAATAATCGACCAGACTGGCAATGGATACCGCCTCAGGAATGGAGCAAAGATCAGTCACCTCCTCTACATAGATGACATCAAGCTGTACGCCAAGAACGAGAGAGACATCGACTCTCTGATCCAAACCACCAGAATCTACATTAGACTGATCTAAACCACCAGAATCTACACTAGACTCTGATCCAAACTACCAGAATCTACACTAGACTCTGATCCAAACCACCAGGATCTACACTAGACTCTGGTCTAAACCACCAGGATCTACACTAGACTCTGATCCAAACCACCAGGATCTACAGCCATGACATCGGGATGTCATTCGGACTCGAGAAATGTAGCAGGATGGTGACTCGAAGGTGGTCCACACAGAAGGGATCTCACACCCAGAGGGACATTAGCAGACCTTCAGTATACCACAGTATCTCAGTATACCACAGTATCTCAGTATACCACAGTATCTCAGTATACCACAGTATCTCTGTATACCACAGTATCTCTGTATACCACAGTATCTCAGTATACCACAGTATCTCTGTATACCACAGTATCTCTGTATACCGCAGTATCTCAGTATACCACAGTATCTCAGTATACCACAGTATCTCTGTATACCACAGTATCTCTGTATACCACAGTATTTCAGTATACCACAGTATCTCAGTATACCACAGTATCTCTGTATACCACAGTATCTCAGTATACCACAGTATCTCTGTATACCGCAGTATCTCAGTATACCACAGTATCTCAGTATACCACAGTATCTCTGTATACCACAGTATCTCAGTATACCATTGTATCTCAGTCAACCACAGTATACCACAGTATCTCAGTATACCACGGCATCTCAGTATACCACAGTGTCTGAGTATACCACAGTATCTCAGTATACCACAGTATCTCAGAGTAAACCACAGAAAAATGGCAACCTCCAACAGGCAACGAGGAAAGTGGCATCTGCCAAATACCTCCAGAGAGTAAGGCAGGGAGCCACTGTCCAGGACCAAACATCCAAACTCCAGAACTATACGACACCAGGGGAGACCCATGGTATAGATCATCCACACCAGAGGAGACCCAAGGTACAGATGATCCCCACCAGAGGAGACCCATGGTACAGATATACCACACAGAGGAGACCCAAGGTGTCGGTTGTGCAAAGAGGCACCTGAGACAATCCAACACATAACTGCAGGGTGCAAGATGCTGCCAGGGAAGGCCTACATGGAACGCCATAACCAAGTGGCTGGCATAGTGTACAGAAACATCTGTGCAGAGTATGGGCTGGAAACCCCAAGGTCTAAGTGGTGAGAGAGTCTGAAGGTAAAGGAGACAGTAGTGAGAGATTCTGAAGGTAAAGGAGACAGTAGTGAGAGAGTCTGAAGGTAAAGGAGACAGTAGTGAGAGAGTCTGAAGGTAAAGGAGACAGTAGTGAGAGATTCTGAAGGTAAAGGAGACAGTAGTGAGAGATTCTGAAGGTAAAGGAGACAGTAGTGAGATAGTCTGAAGGTAAATGAGACAGTAGTGAGAGAGTCTGAAGGTAAAGGAGACAGTAGTGAGGGAGTCTGAAGGTAAAGGAGACAGTAGTGAGAGATTCTGAAGGTAAAGGAGACAGTAGTGAGAGAGTCTGAAGGTAAAGGAGACAGTAGTGAGAGAGTCTGAAGGTAAAGGAGACAGTAGTGAGATAGTCTGAAGGTAAATGAGACAGTAGTGAGAGAGTCTGAAGGTAAAGGAGACAGTAGTGAGGGAGTCTGAAGGTAAAGAAGACAGTAGTGAGGGAGTCTGAAGGTAAAGGAGACAGTAGTGAGAGATTCTGAAGGTAAAGGAGACAGTAGTGAGAGAGTCTGAAGGTAAAGGAGACAGTAGTGAGAGAGTCTGAAGGTAAAGGAGACAGTAGTGAGATAGTCTGAAGGTAAATGAGACAGTAGTGAGAGTGTCTGAAGGTAAAGGAGACAGTAGTGAGGGAGTCTGAAGGTAAAGGAGACAGTAGTGAGAGATTCTGAAGGTAAAGGAGACAGTAGTGAGAGAGTCTGAAGGTAAAGGAGACAGTAGTGAGAGAGTCTGAAGGTAAAGGAGACAGTAGTGAGAGAGTCTGAAGGTAAAGAAGACAGTAGTGAGAGAGTCTGAAGGTAAAGGAGACAGTAGTGAGAGAGTCTGAAGGTAAAGGAGGACAAAATATGAGAATGATTTTTTTAATATATGTATAATATCTGTGTATGTATATTTATATAGACGCAGCCAAAGTGCCAAATATATTTGATAGGAGCACTTTGTAATCATAAAGAAATCTGTGGAACATGTGAATCATGAGGTGGTGTGAGAAAGAGGAAGTGGAAGATTAAAGAAAGACAGAAGTGGGCGTCAGTACCTGCGCAGAACTACGCTGCTTTCAGTCCAATAGTTTCAGTGTAAACAGTGCCTGCAGCGGCTCATAATGGTGCTTTCAGACCGGATCATGCGTTGCGTCGGGTTTCAATGCAGTCTATTGGTGCTTTCAGACCGGATCATGCGTTGCGTCGGGTTTCAATGCAAAGTCTATGGTGGCGCGCGTTCAACCGTCACAACGCACGGACCTCTCGGGACGCACGAACGGACTGTTCAATAATGACGCACGGATTTGGCGGGAAAGTGAAAAGGGAGGAGCACGAGCGAAAAATCAACGCCCACAGGAGATGGATTCTGCTCATCCTTTCCTTGGAACGTTCGTGCGACAACCAATCAGAGAGCAGCAAAGTGGTCACGGGGACATTAGCGGACTGAGCGAGCAGACTGAAAATACTCATAAACAGCCAAAACAAGACCCACACCAGGCTTCACCAGAACTCAAACCAGTGTTGACAATGGGGGACTCTGCTTGTGAAAATATGCGTTGTCATGCTCCCGTGACCTTATGCAACGGCTTCGAGTGTGTTCACCGATGCGGAAATACCGTTTAATAATATGAAAAAACTTATGGCGCACCTCCGTGAACACATACTATTGTTATATAAAGCCCGTGGAAAGTCTCTGTTCAAAGACACGCTGTAAAGCTGCGTATTGGAGAAGATCTGTAGACGAGAAGCCGCTAGCATAGCTCTGTTAGCATCCGAGCCGTCAGGACGTTCTGGTGTGAAGTCCTCTGCGTCTGAAAACTAGAGAATGCGCGTCTGGTGAGCGGGGCTTCCGCGTTTTAGCGTTGGCGGTCTGAAAGCCCCAAAGTCTCCGTACCCTGACTCCACAGAACATGAAAGAAACAGACCTTTTTATCAAACTGTGTCAGAATCATTGACACAGTTTGATAAAAAGTCAATTATCAAACTGATAATTGAAATACCACAGGACTCCAACCTCCGTCTGTTTATGTTTCAGAGAAATCTTCTTTTAAGATCATGAAACGATTCACCCATAAATGTGTAACAACTGTAACTGTAACTGTAGCTGTAACTGTAACTGTAACTGTAAAGGCCGTTTTATTTTCATTAGGAAAATGCTACTTTAAAGTTAATCATTTTGTTTTAGTAGGCACCTTTGCTTTATTTTGTGTGTGTTTGGGTGGGGCCAGATAGAGTGCAGTTCCTTTTATTTACAATAGGGGGAACTAGTGAGAGTAATGTGGTAGTGTGGAAGCTGGCCTGGGTTTAGGCCCAACAGTTTTTTGACTGTGTGCTTTTTTTTGTGGAAGACTGCTTTGTATGTGGAATGTAAACTGTTCATTTGGAACTATGAAACCTGTGGCATCATTAAAACAACATATCTCCGTTATTCCGTTTGGACACTCATATCTTTTATTTTCTCAAGAACACAGTCAAGCTAAAGCTATAGCCCAGGCTGCTTACAGTGGCAAAGACACTCTCAACAATTGCCACAACAGTAACTGTAGCTGTAACTGTAGCTGTAGCTGTAACTGTAGCTGTAGCTGTAGCTGTAACTGTAGCTGTAGCTGTAACTGTAGCTGTAACTGTAACTGTAGCTGTAGCTGTAACTGTAACTGTAGCTGTAGCTGTAACTGTAGCTGTAACTGTAACTGTAACTGTAACTGTAGCTGTAACTGTAGCTGTAACTGTGACTTTAGCTGTAACTGTACTGTAACTGTAACTGTAGCTGTAGCTGTAACTGTAGCTGTAGCTGTAGCTGTAGCTGTAACTGTAGCTGTAACTGTAGCTGTAGCTGTAGCTGTAGCTGTAACTGTAGCTGTAGCTAACTGTAACTAGCTGTAATTGTAACAATAACTGTAGATGTATATGTAATATGTGATATAATGTACTTTACTCTATTGTAATATAGTGTACTATACTGTAATGTACTGTACTGTACTTTACTAGTGTACTGTTGTATACTGTACTATAGTGTAATATACCGTACTCTACTGTAATATAGTGTACTGTAGTGTACTATACTGTACTGTACTATAATGTACTGTAGTGTACTGTACTATACACTGTAAACCCTAACTTCAATCGTACTTCAGATATCAAAGTTATTTTAAATAGATTTTTCCCAGTAAGTGAATATTACTCATTTAGTGTAAGTTTATTTAAAGCTTGGCTAAATCACTCAGGATTTTCTTTGAATTGAACTCACTCTGTTCAAATAAGCCTCACTTTTGACATTTTGACGTGTAGAGTCTTAAATGAGACAGGTGTGACAATGGCAGGGTGGTCTGGTGGCTGAGAGGGTAGCACCTTCACCTTCTAACCGCAAGGTTATAAGTATGAATCCTGGTCAGAACATAAGTTTAAATTTTAACTTTATTGCAATCACGTGAGCTTACTTGGTAATATCAAGTAAAGGATGTACTCGAGAAATTCAAGTGAAGTTAATATGCAATTTATTTCCAAGGTTTTTTTCAAGTAAACTTTATTTGTCAGGGTTTACAGTGTACTGTACTGTACTATAGTGTAATATACTGTACTGTACTATAATGTACTGTAGTGTACTGTACTATACTGTACTCTACTGTAATATAGTTTACTGTACTGTACTATAGTTTACTGTACTGTACTGTACTGTAGTGTACTGAGTTACTTCTGTACCTTGTGTAACTGTAATCTAATATAATATTACATATATTAATGTAATGTACCTTGTCGGCTAATCAAGCGGTTGAGGAAGACGAAGATCAGGACGATGATGAAGGAGAGGACGAGGACCACAAGGACCACCCAGAGCCAGAAGTAGTGCCTGAGCAGAGAGTCCATCACGCACACTCACACAGACACACACACACAGTGTGTATGCATGTAGATTGTGTGTGTCTGTGGTCTGTGACACAGCTGCAGACGAAGCACTGAGCACTTCCCTTTTTCAGTTTCTTGGAAGTCTCTCAAAAACTATGAGTCAGCTGCAGCGAGGACCAAGTGTGTGTTAGGACCATGTGTGTCCTCTGTCAGGACCATGTGTGTCAGGACCATGTGTGTGTCAGGATCATGTGTGTGTCAGGACCATGTGTGTGTCAGGACCATGTGTGTGTCAGGACAATGTGTGTCCTCTGTCAGCACTTCCCTTTTTCAGTTTCTTGGAAGTCTCTCAAAAACCATGAGTAAGTTGCAGCGAGGACCAAGTGTGTGTTAGGACCATGTGTGTCCTCTGTCAGGACCATGTGTGTCAGGACCATGTGTGTGTCAGGACCATGCGTGTGTCAGGACCATGTACAGTATGTGTCAGGACCATGTGTGTCAAGACCATGTGTGTCAGGACCATGTACAGTATGTGTCAGGACCATGTGTGTCAGGACCATGTGTGTGTCAGGACCATGTGTGTCTTACTGGCATGTGGCTCCATCTCTGTGTGGTAAGTAAGTCATGTTTATTTATGTAGCACATTTTACAGACCAAAGAACAGACCCAAGCTGAGAACCAAGTCTTAACCTCGAGGGCTGAGTCTGAACCAGTGGGGGAGGGTCCCAGCTCAAAAGTGGCCAAAATGACGTGCGCTGACATGCTTGCAATACCACCCCGGGCCGATGGGGGTGGACCCAGAAGTAGAATTAGCCAATGCTAACATATAGCATTGGCAGACCTCTCAAAAACGTCTTTACAGGATGGACCAAAAGTTGTCTCTTGGCCCAAAGCTCCGTTCCACATGTGAGGGAGATGTCCGTCCGCGAACTTGATCAGCTTCACGAGTCGTGGCTGGAGGTGCAGTGGTTGTGTAACAGTGGAGAAGAGCAGGGGAGAAAGAACACAGCCCTCGTGGGGTGTGCATCATTTCAGAAAATGCTTGCACATGCAGACGCTGAGAGCCTGTGACATGCGCAGCTGGCTGAGGCTGCGAAGATATATTTGAGCAGTTTGAAAGAATGTTTGTATATATAATATATATACGCTGACCACACTAAAATACCGAGGCAAAATGACCTATTGAACTCCCCCAGCCCCACAAGGACCGGATAAGCACAAAGGCGCCACTGAGGGTCCGCATGCAAGATACGGAGGGGGGAAGAGCCGGGGAAGGCCGAGACAAAGGAGCCAGAAGTCCAAGGAACTGGCTGGATACGACAACCCTCCTTCCTGCACATGATTACTTATATTGCTTTGGCTTGAGTTCTGAGCCTCAGTTAGAACAGGGATAGATTTAGGGACTTAGAGCTCCGAGAGTTTATGTATCAATATTTAATTGTAAAGCGACATAAAATGTTCAATTCTTAATCTTGAAGTCCTTTATCTTATTATTTCTGTATCAAACTTTGACACGTTCAGTCAAATCTTTTTTGACAACAGGGCTCCTGTATTAATAATCCGAGAGTCCGAGACATTCTTACCCAGACGCACCAATTTAACACATTTCCTAAAATGAAATTCATTTAGAGTATACAGACTAACACTTTAAATGTGTGACATCCATTTCTCCTAAAATCGTGGCCGACCCTGTGCTGCTTCATGTTTGGAGCCTTTTTATTTTTATGAGCCCTGCTCGACGGATTACGCGGATTTTTAACAGACTGCATCAAAAAGGATTACTGTCACTTTTAACAGGACTGTCTATCAGCCTTTCACCGGTAACCACTACACATCACCATGGACACCGATGCTCCCCCCGCGAACTCATACAAACAGATATAAAAATCACAACTTGCTTCAATCCTCCCATCCAAACCTGTAAACACCATGACCCCCGAGGAACTTCAGCGCACTGTCACAGAACTATCCACTGAACTCATACATAAAGAGAAACTTCTGGAACATTTCATGGACATATCATTCAAACAGTCACAGCAAATATCCCTCTCCGTACTCAGACAATCACAGCTCCACGACACTGCACTCTGGGATCCAATCGCCTGTCCTCACCCCTCATCCTGCTCTACCCCGGTGCTTACCTCACGCTTCCCGGTTGCGGTTGCTCCTGTCCCTCCCGGTGCTCTTCCCTCCTCTACGGTCCCGGAGCCTGCTGCCCATACCCAGAGCGGCGCGGAGCAGAGGCCTGGAGGCCACACGACATCCACGGTGTCCTCTCGCCGCAGGTTGGTGGAGGAGGCTGTGCGCAGACGCTCGGGGAGCTTCCCACGCTCTAAAACAGCGCGGGGCTCTCCGGGTGTCACGCAGGACCAACTGCGGGAAGCCCCGGGGGGATCTCTGTGCCCCGACGCGGCACCGGATACCCCCGGGAGCGCTGTCCCTGCTGTGGGAGGGTCCGTGCGCTCTGACGCGGAGGGAATCCCCAGAGACGGGACACGAAGCAGGTCCTACGCTGAGGTGGCTGCGGGGGGGCCTCTGCGCTCTGGAACGGTGCAGAGTCCTCCCGTAGTTGCTGCCTCGCCCGCGGGGGAGTCTTTGCGCTCAATTTCGGCGCGGAGCTCCCCCGCGGAGGCTGTCTCGCCTGCTGGAGGATCTCTCCGCCCGGTCCATGGCCCTCCCACAACCGCCCGCACTACCACCACCACCAACCCCGCTGCAGGGGCGCCGGCTCGGTCTCCGGCTCCATCCTCCTGCTCCACTGCGGCTCACGGGGCTCGCAGCAGCTCTGCTCCGGGCACCTCCCAACGCTCTCCTGTCCCCTGCTCTCCCCCGGGCCCTACTCCAGTCACACCCTCCCCTCCACGGCCTCTGTTTGCACCAACTACACTCCTGGTGGGGGACTCTATCATCAAACACTGTAAGTTCTTCAATGCCATCACACACTGCTTTTCCGGAGCCACTGTCCCTACCATCCTCACGAAACTACCCGCACTTCTACAGACAGCACCCCCCACAATAACCCGGATCATAATACATGTTGGTACAAATGACACTTCACTTCGCCAAACTGAAACCACCAAACTCCATTTTAAGGACCTTTTTAACCTTTTATTGAAATCCGGCAAAAGTGTTTTTATCTCTGGCACTCTGCCCACGTTGAACCGGGGCGTGGAACGTTTTAGCAGGATACTATCACTCACCACTTGGCTTCAAAACTCATCACAACAGCACAACTTTGGTTTTATTGACAATTTTAATCTGTTCTGGAACCGCCACCCCTTCTTCACACCCGATGGACTCCATATCAATAAACTCGGCACCCGGTACTTGATTTCAAACATCACCCACTCAGTCCAATCCCGTCCCCCGCACCTCTGACAATCCACCACTCCATCCCACATCATTCCTGCCCCTCTGGACTCCAACATCGGTCCCTGCTCCCCCCTCCAGCAAGGAATTTCAGTTCTGTCCAGACCCCGCCCCTACAGACCGTCCATACTCCGGAAACCGTCCCTCAACACCCTCATCCCTGTCGCCCTTTGCTCCTCCACATCTTCTTCTCCCCTCACCACAAACAAAAATGACCCCCCATCTACCATCAGGTTTGCTCTTTTAAATGTACGCTCTCTTTTAAATAAGACTTTTACTGTAAACGATTTGATTTTAGAACACGAACTGGATGGTATGTTTTTAACTGAGACGTGGCTGGGTCCGGATGCTCCGGCTGTTCTTACAGAGGCTTCCCCTCCCGATTTTAGCTTTGCTTTTAAAACAAGAGAAGGAAAGAGAGGTGGCGGCACAGCCTCAATATGCAGTAACGCCCTGGCCACCAAACCTATTGTTTTTAACCAATACTCAAGTTTTGAGTATCACTCTCTTGTTTTTAGCAACCCCAAAATTTTAACAGTAATTATTTATAGGCCACCAAAAAAGTGCAGCCTTTTTATTCATGAATTCTCAGCGTTTTTATCACAGTTACACAATTCTTACAACATGATAATTTTAACCGGTGATTTTAACATACACATTGACAATCCCTCTGACAATTTTACCCTAGATTTCTTAGATGTTCTTAATTACATGGATTTTACCCAACACGTCAGACAGCCAACACACAACAGGGGACGCACCCTAGACCTGGTCATTACCTATGGCCTGACTGCGGATGTGTCCTCTGTTGTCGACTTGGCTGTCTCGGACCACTACTGTGTGTTTTTTAACATCACTGGTTTTATTCAGCGTGAGACCTCTGTGAGAACCGTGAGGAAGCGACATCTAACCCCTGAAGTGGCTGCAAATTTTATCGACATCCTAAACAACACTCCCCACTTGGTTTTACCTGCCCCCTGTGATTTTATAGCAAATGATTTTAACAGTAGACTTAGTTCCGCATTGGATCAAGTCGCTCCTTTAAAAACAAAAATCATAAAAACAAAATCTGTACCCCCATGGAGAAATGAGGAAGTACGGAAAATGAAACGAGAGTGCAGGGTGGCAGAACGAAGGTGGAGGAAAGATAAAATAACAATCAACTACGAACTATATAAAAGCAATCAAAAAGCATACAATAACACAATTAGAAATCATAAGAACAAATACTTTGCAAAGCTAATCACCCAAAATAAAAATAACCCAAAGGTCCTCTTTTCAACCATCGACACCATTTTAAACCCTGATTTTAGCATGTCTCTTTTAACCCCCACAGACTCCCTCTGTGAGGATTTTGCAGCCCACTTCACGGGGAAGATAAACACAATCAGATGTAACATTTTATCCAACCGCACAACTGTTTTTAACACATCTGATTGTTTGTCTTCACCAGAGGAAACACTGGACAGTTTTGTCCTGGTTGATGCTGAGATGCTTGATAAAGTTTTCTCCTCAGTGAGGCCCACCACATGTCTTTTAGATCCAGTCCCCACTCCATTTTTTAAGTCATTTTATGAATCTTTTAGAGAGGAGCTTTTAAACCTGATGAATTGCTCTCTGCAGACTGGGGTCTTTCCTGCAGCCTTCAAAGC